GAAGTCTGAATTATTGAAAAACCTACACTACACCATAGGTTCTGGTAAATTTCAACATGGTCTTGCTGCGGGATTAACGGCTAACATATGCGAGACAAACCTCTGTGAGTCATATTGCGTGACTGTCTGTCGGATATAATTCAATATACGGAGTAGTATCATCCAGGGAAGTAGTTGTTTTCCGACAGGCATTTACCAGAACATACGATATAGGTAGTTGGGAGAGATGAATATTTAGAAATTTTGATTCGAAATATTAATTTTCTAGTATAAAGACCTTGATAAATTAATATTGAAATGAACACGTTTTTATCTTTTTCGTTTTATTATCTATAACACATTGAATTTTGGATTCTGTGAATTTTTATAACATTTAAAAAACTAATACCTCTTTCAAATCAAAAATGAAATCAAGATGGCCGTAACCAAACAGGCAAGCAGTAGTCAGTACCTAAATATCATTATTAAGACTGTCAAGAAATCTGATGAGCGCTAAATGAAAATTACGAAATCAAAAGTAGATATGAAACAAATTAAGAGCTTACATTTTTTCTCAAGTCGGTGCCAACAATCAAGAAACATATCTACCAAATATAAAATTATGTCAGGATGCACCGACCTCAAAAAATTGAAGCACCTCAAGTTGTTTCGTACTTTTTTTATTTCATTTTGTTGGTTGTTTTTTAAGTATTAATTGGAATTAATATTTCTTCAAAGTTTTTTTGAGTACTAAATATATCAATTTAAATGGACGTTTATTACCCTAAACACTGGAATAAGCCAAGTGGTACTAGATGAACCTGAATGAATGAATAATTCTAAATAATACCTACTTAGTTTTCTAGAAATCTTTCAATGAATCGATAGATAGGATTCCTCATAGTCTTAAAGCGATATACAAATTAGCAATAAGTTGTTTGCTGACATGAATATTACAGAACACATTGAAAAACAAATAATTATCTTGCTAATATCAAAATACCTCATTTTCGGTTTATCTTACCACAATTGAATTAAATCGCTGTTAGACTCATTAGAAAGAAATGTCGATAACACCTCGTAAAATTTAATGGACGACAAACAATGCAATTATACATCGATAGTACACCTTAATCATTGGCAACACTCTTGTGCTTGCTTTGCCATTTACTTATCGACAATGATAAGAATTATCGTTCTCTTGGAACTAGTTTTTGCAGAACAATGAAACATTACAATCGAAACATTTTTGAATATTTCTTACATTACGAATATGCTTGGGTTAACTTTTCGAAACGTTTGTTCAAGTATGAATATTTATGAGCAATCTATATGTTCGAGATTATTAATTAATGACCTTTTATCTTTGAGGAAATAATACGATTTTTTGAAAAGGAATTATTTCATTGAAATTGTGAAATTTGAAATATCACATATAATGTTCGTTAGGATATAATTACAATGTTCACATATTTTTCAGCTGAAAAGGCTCTTGCGAAATTCCGTAGTCAATCTTGATGGTGTCAGAATATTTTGAAAGCTATTGGAATGAATTCATTATTTCGGTTACGGTACATATTTTAACAAAATCCCGAAATACGTTAAATTATAATTTGATACACTCCAAGGGATAAATGCTACCCCTACTTTCAACCCCTGTCGAATGACAGGTACAATGCCCAATTTTTTAAATGGGAAGTAAAGGCGTGTGATAGATCGTTTGAAAGGTCTCTTCTATTCTATTAAAAAATGTTATTGCTTTCAAGTTTATTGCAACAATTGGGATGAAATAAATTAAAATCATGTGGTTACCGAAATTCGAAAAAGTACACTCAAAACTTATTTCATGTTGAGGTATTAATAATAAAAAAGTAATTAAAACCATATCAATCTTCTTTTTAGATGGTATCCTTCAAAAAACTGTAAATAATTTCCGTGGAACGTCAGTTTAAAACGCTTTATCAACTTGTTTTGTATGTTACAACATCAGTTGCCAGTATTTAAATTTAAGTCTAAAGTTCGTCAACTTCAAGTCTGAAAAATGGTTAGATTAACGGACATGCATAAAATAACAGTTTTACAAATGATTGGTTATGGAGATAAACACAACAGGAAGTAGCTCGCCTATTTCATAAGGAATTTCCTAATTTATCGACCATATCTCAAGGAACAATAAGCAAAATAGAGAAATAGTTTCGCGAGCTTGGTCATGTGGGGCAGATAGAAAAAGCAGCTGCCAATGCAATGAGTGATGAACTCAAATTGGATGTGATGTTTGAATTTGAGGAAAACCCACATACATCGAGTAAACATGCATCCACTACATTTAATGTTACTCATACATCGATAGTAAACATATTGAAACAAAATAAAATGCATCTCTATAAAATGATACCTACTCAGGAGGTCATAGAAGACAATTTTGATAGAACTTATTTTTGTGAGCAAATGATTGATATGACATGATGACATGTTAAAGGTCGTGCTAATCGGCAAAATTGCCGCTACTGGTCAACGGAAAATCCTCACTGGATGAGAGAAGAACACACGCAATACCATCAAAAGGTTGAAGTTTGGCCAGGGATTCTAGGAAACCATATCATAACATAAAATGATGTCATTATAAGTTTGGCAAATTTATATCTTGATACAGGAAGCTCTCAAGTTCCGGTGAATACGATATGGTTTCATCGGGATGGAGCACTGTATGTCCGGCAATACTTCGATACATTTCCCAGTCGGTGGATAGGGAGGCGAGGATCGATGGAACGGCCAGCGCGATTACCTGATCTTTCATCATCAGATCTCTTTTTATGTTGATATGTAAAGAGCAGTGTGTATAAAATTAATTAGGTCGGTCACACCTGATATGTTAAATAATGTTAGAAGACAGTTTTATTTGAGATTAGAATGTTGCCAAGACGTTCGCGGTGAACATTTTGAACATTTACTTCGTTGACATCCATAGTTTTTTTTCCTATTCTACATTTCATAATGTTTTGTAAGTATTACATTTTAGTTTTTGAGTGTATTTTATCGAATTTTGGTAACCACTTGATTTTAATTTATTTTATTTTGATTGTTGCAATAAACTTGAAAGCTGTAGTATTTTTGAATAGAGAATGAAGAGACCTTTCAAGCGATATATCACAAATCTATACTTCCCATATAAAAAATTGGGGGTTGTACCTGTCATTCGAAGGGGGTTGAAAGTAGGGATGGCATTTTTACGTTGAAGCATTTCAAATTATAATTTATATTTGACGTGTTCCAGGATTTTTTTTAATATGTACAGTTACCGAAATAATGAATTTACTCCATATGGCAACTTTCTTTCAGAAATTTCAGAAATAAAATCAACCGCAGAAACAGATCTAAGAAATTTACAAATTTGGGTGGACCATAACCCACTCACCCTAAACGTCTCTAAAACTAAATTCATACCTTTTACACCTACGGTTATTACACAACACACTACAGATTATTCTATAAACCTTCACAAAACAACTTGCACGGACACAAATACGTGTACCTGCCCAGAAATAGATCGAGTATCATCAATAAAATACCTAGGAGTGACTCTGCATCAGCACATTCGCTGGACCGAGCACATCTCGAATTTAAATAAACTACTAAGAGCATTACTGCACAGATTTTACACTTTAGGAGATATCCTCTCACGCAAAAACCTACTAATGCTTTATACTTTCCTGGTGTAATCCATTCTAAGATACATTATTATAATATGGGGAGGAGCCTTCGTTAACAACTTACGTCCTCTACATATCATACGAAATTCCATCATAAAAATCATATTCAGAAAAAAGAAACACACAAAATTACTATATGAAGAAACAAAAATCCTACCAATCAGTCTTTTGTATGTTCGTCAATGTATAATTCGAGTTCACACAACTAAATACTCACTTCGAAGCAGATCTGTCCAACCAAACAGACAAACTAGTAATGAAGAATTAGCAATACATACATTTAGAAAAGCTATAACCCAGAGAACGTTTCTATTTTTCGGTCCAAAATTTTACAATGAAATACCTGTACATTTGAAAAAAAAAATGGCAAACTAAGAAATTTAAAACTGAAATAAAGAACTATATCCTGAAATTCATAATGAACAAAAAAAACTTGAAGCATATTTATCATAACTGCAATAGTTTGAAAGTTATTATAATTATAAAAGCGAAGGAGCGAATGAAAAAGAGAAGTATCAAGGTATCACAATATTAAAAGTTTTATAAAAAAATGAATAAATTTAAAAAAACACATAGTTACTTTCATTATAGAACAAAGTATTGAAAAAAAAATAAAAAAATATGTTACAAAAAAAGTACATGTGAACTAGACTATTAAATATACAGGTGTTTTGAAGTTATGCTTTACATTAGAGTTAATTACCTTCCTTATTTTTTTTATCTTGTTAATCTTTGCCCGCCAAAATTTTTAAGATAATTTTATGTACAATACTAATAGTCTTTTTTTAGAGAAGCCCTGGATAAAACACACACAGGCAATTATGCCTTGGTATGTTTTACACAGAGAACAAATCTAACCCCATTTTGTTAAAAAAATTGTAATATTTTTTTTGTACATCCAATACTTGAATAAACTTGACTTGACAACAAAAAAAAAGTATCAGACAATGAAAGTCCGAACTAGTAAAATTCACCATGGAACATTGTTAACCACTTTCAAACAAATATTATAATTTCATTGTATTCAACATCATTCCCGTTTCTTGTAAATATCTATCGACGCTATTTCTGGAGAGCCACCTGTACAAGTGATCCTAATGAAATCCTCGTCCGATAAGGTCGATTACTAGAAAGTTGGCCATCGGAAAATTTCCGAAACTAACTTCTCTTGTTATCGAACTTTCTACAATCCCTGCGACGGCTACGGTCCTAAACTCTAAGAACTCTTCGACAACTCGACTTGGGTGAAGTGAATGACAGAAATCTTCGAGTCTCGGCTTTCCTTAACATCGATCTCTTGCGTTGTTCCAGATTACGTGTACAACCCGAAAGAGGCGCGGATCCGGAAGGCGATGCGAGAAGCTAGCAGAGACCGTTCGATCGGTGGTTCCCCGATGCTACCCAGGCCGAACGCGCGCAGGCCGCCGCCGCACGGGTGGGTGCCGCCAGGGGCGGCGCACGAGGAACTCATGATGGTGAGTCGATTTGTTGTTTTTGTATTTTAGCATTCAGCTGATCATTTTTTGATAATAACCCTGTCTCTGAAATGAACATTGTTTTAAATGTATAGGGTCTTTCATTAGGCGCTTCCTACTTTCAAATTTGAATAAAACAATGTGAGATATCATCGACATTTTTCATTCGTTTGAAAGACCTTTTGATGTCAATATGTGTGGAATATAACATCTTTGAATTGAAGGGGTTATATTTTTAGGAGTGATTAATTTTTGGGAAAGAAAATTTTTGGCTTTCTACTACTCCATCTTGATACAAAAAATGTGGGAAGATTCCAGTTTTTGTCTGAAAGTTGTTTCTTTGCATGATCTACACATCCATGTATAGAGTTACTTATTTTTAAATTGATTACTTCCTTTCTTTGGAGGATTCCCACATTTTTGTACCAAGATGGAGTAGTAGAAAGCCAAAAACTTTATTTCCCAAAAAATAACATCGTTCAAATGTCCGTCACGGCTTCTCTGGGTGGATCGCGTCTGAAACGCATTTTCCATGACTCTGGCGCACAAACGAGGCTGAATTTGACCGATGGTACGTGAGGACCGCTGTGATTTGTGGATTATACGCATACATCTGCGACTTGAGAAAACTCCCAAAGAAAAGTCTAACGGGGCCAAATCGGACGATTTCGGTGGCCAGCTCACATCACCTCCACTTGAGATGACCATGCCCTCAAATCGTTTCTGCAAAATATCCAATGTGGCATGAGCTGTGTGACACTTAACGCCATCCTATTGAAACCACATGACATTGGTGTTCAGATCATCCAATTCACGCTATAAGAAGTTGGTAATCATCGACCAATAATGCTCGCCGTTGACAGTTATGGCCTGTCCAACGTCGTTCTCAAAGAAATATGAATCGATGTCGCCGCCAGCTCAAAATCCACACCAAACAGTGACTTTTTGTTGGATCTCATGTAGATTGGTATCGTTCCAAATTCGACAATTTTGTTTGTTCACGTACCCGTTCATCCAGAAATGGGCCTCATCGCTGAAGATGATTTTTCAGTTGTCATTTGCTCCAGAGCCCAGCGAAAACACGTCGTTGTCTATGGTCGTTCACGTTCAGTTCCTGGATCAGTTGAATTTCGTACGGGTGCAGGCCCAAGTCACGACGCAAAATTCGCCAAGTTGTGGTCTGCAAAAGATCGAGACTTCTTCAAATTTTCCTGCAAATTTTCCTGCCGCAACAGCGGCAATGTTCTCAGCAGATTTTGCGTTTTGTCGACGTATGGGTGTTGGTCGATCTGAACAAGTAGACCGAAATTTATCCATCACATTGCGAATATTTCTCACTGTAAGACGATCGTAAAATGAGTGAAGCACGCGGTACGTTTCCCGAACAGTACACCCATTTTACCACCTCCACAAGCCACATAAACAACAGTTGTTTTGTTATTTATTTATATAGAGGAAGATAGGTTAGGTGCACAAAATGTCATATGTCACAGAATATCTCGGAACTTGGAACATAAGTAAATAGAACAGCATGCCATTGAAATATGTCATTTTTGTTTGTCCCATACAGGTAACAGATTCATTGTCCTTTATTAGCTATAACCAATGTTGCCAAATGGTGAAATAGAAACGAATCCCTTTAAATGTTGAATTCATTATTTCATTCCTCTTTTCTGAGTAATTAAATAATTTTTCAAAGAAAAAGGTTGAAATGATAAGTTTAAAATGCGTTGTTTTACATCTCTTTTGTGAAAACTACTTGATTTTCGTCAAGAGGAACATTCCCCATTGCCAAAGTTCGTAAGTCCCTGATGGAAAACCCATTATATCGAATAAAAAATTACTGAATAAAAATATATTGAAATCATCATTGGAAAACGAAACGTGAATGGACATTCACACGAAAGGTAATGTTGATATTGCTACATATATCTTCATTACTGAATTAAGGAAGTGAATAAATTAGTGCACGACCATGGTTCAAATGTAATGACAGAAAAAAAAATAACTCAAGATGTAGGTAGTTCAATAATAATCAAATACACAGATGAAAATAAAATAGAAAATGTTGTAACAATGTGAATGATTTGATACAATATGCAGAAAAAATGACATTATCAAAATGAAATCACATGAAACTCGTGAAATTCAGCATACTTATGGCAATTTGTTGATATGTTGTGTGTTGTTGTGTTATGTTTTTTCCATTAACCTGCTATCGCACCCCTACGAACGACAACCCTCAGAAGTCTAAACTTGTGCAAGCTAAGGACTAACGAGGTCTTACCTTTTGACGTGTGATTCCTAACACGGTTCAAGCCTGAGGCTTGAACCATCCACTCACACATCGGCCGATTGACTGAGTGGACAAAGCACCCACGTCAAACCGCCGGCTACCGACCGACCAAATGAGGCACCTGGTGCTTCATTATTTTTTAGGCTCAGAATGATTTTAGTCATTTTTTTTTACTGGTATCAGCTAGAAAATATGTAGTGGTTTGTGTTTAGTATCGAAATTAGAGTTTAAATTTTTTGTTGAGTTTTCATTCGCCAATTTCTTGCTTAACTGTTGAAAAGTACGTGTTAAATTCTTCCTTTACAATGTTTCGTATTTGGTTGTACTAAGACAGAAGAACTTCAATAATTGCCGAAACAAAACCAAATGAGCAGGCAATTATTGAAATTCTGATATCGTATAGTACAACCAAATACGAAACATTGTAAAGAAAGAATTCAACACGTTATTTTCGACAGTTGAGCAAGAAATTGACGAATAAAATCTCAAACTCTAATTTCGAAACTAAACACAAACCACTACACACTTTCTAACTGATACCAGTAAAAACTAAATGCCTGAAATCATTCTGAGCCTAAAGAAAAATAAAGCACCAGGTGCTTTGTTATTATGACTTGAAATCAGAAATGTTGAAAAAAAAATCACATATACAACACCGCACCTATATAGTGAGTGAACTATTGATTCAAATCATGTATTCTACCGAAAGCATTTAGGATCGCTCTTGTCAAACCTCTTTTCGAAAGTGGGAACTTTCTTGAAATCAACAATTACAGACCCATAGTCATCATTCTCAGATATCAATATGGATTCAAGAAAGTAAGCGGCTGCAACTATAGCAAATGAAGATGCTATCGCAATTGTCATTGCTAACATAAGTGAATATGTTGATGAGAACATTCGTTCACGGCATTCGCTGGCAATTCTCGTTAATCTCCGCAAAGCTTTTAACACTGTGTGTCTTGATGAGTCAATGAATGTATTGCAGAGCATCGGTTTCAGAGGAGCCACATACAAATCATTTGATAATTTATATGAAACAAGTTCAAATCGGCGTTAGTAGCAGCTCAGAATTGAAAGTTATATTTGATATCCCCAAGGGGGCCGTTTTAGGTCCTCTCCACAATTAATACAGAAGCCAAATAGTGAGTTTTGTTGCCGATACAGTAATATTGTACAAAGCGGATTTTCAGGTCTGAAATCAAAATATAAGAATTGAGTGAAAAAAATTTGTAAAAGTATGATATAAATAATGTTAATTGACTGCCTGTGTCACTATCTTGTATGTAATGGATATTCAAACTGCCGAGTGCTGAAAAATATGGTTGCTACCACTCAGGGTCAATAAAAACCTGTCTTTGAAGTTTGATGTCTTTGCTATATCAATCAACTGGGTACGTGAAAGCTTATTGATGGTTTAATAGTTCAAGCAAGTAGGTTCAATATAGAATATACAGTTCTTCTCTTTTTTAAAACTTTTACTCCTTCTTTTTTCGAAGTTGTGAATTTTTCAGTCCGAACATCCAATAAGAATTATTTATTTTCCCCTGGTTGGAAGTCATTTGCGATATGGTACATTTGTATAGGGCAGTCAGCCACTTATGAGTATATAAATCCTTTGGAAAAAATCGCTTGAAACAGCATATCCGGCTCTCAAAAATACTATACAGCTCAGTTTCGTTCTGCTTGGACCTAAAAGTTGCAATCTCGTTCCAGATGAATTCAGATTGATCAACTGTCATTGTCTATTTATCCTCGACCTAACCAAAATCTACTATTAAATAGTATTTGAAATAATACGTAAGGGCATACTCGTCATTCATCTCAAAATATTGATTTCTCAGTGCATGATTGCTAGGACATAAATTGGGTAACTGGAAGGTTAAATAATTCTGCCATTTAATGGAAAGTGTTTCGCTATACAATATGTTCATTTGGAGTGTCTATGCTAATCTATACTACTAGCATGGCAAATATTACATTAATATCGACTTTATTTTTGATACAATTCGTTCATTAAATGAAAATCATTTTTCCATAAAAAAGTGGAAGGCAACAAAGTATACATGAGGAAAATGGGAAAATCAAAAAAAAACTAGAGATTATATCTCAGGATTTTTTTATACCCAAGTAAACTACGTTATGAACAACATTTCAGGATGAAATTTTTTCCATTTAGTTTTTTCATATCCATTTTGACGAAAACTTGGAGTTTTTGATTTTGGAAGTACTTTACAAAAATTATAATCATTCGTAAAAATATTCCCCATTCATCTTAAAATGATGATTTTCTGAATTGTCAAATGAGAAAAACCTAAGGTTCAAGAAACAGTACACTAGTACATTATTTATTGAAATTATTCCTTAATATTTATATCACTTTTAAAAAAATGAAAAATATTATTATGTAACAGCTGGCGTTTGAAATATTGACTCAATAATTGTTTACTCAGTTTAATTTATTTCAAAATACATATTTGAACTCACCGAAATTCTTCCAGGGTTGTTGATATTTCGATGTTCTTCCTTTTTTCTCCGAGTTTCATTCCTCAAAAAGTCCTGCAACGTGGAATTTATTAGGCTATCGGGTTTACAAAAGCTATTCGAAAATCATTGTTTCAATATTTCTTCCCGAGAAAATGGAAAGCGTTGTAATAAGTTTCAGCAGATATGAAAGGTGTACTTTCTGGGATATCCCTTCAGG